GATAATGCATTGATCACATTTAATTACCTTGATTTTCCTTCTTTTTTTTTAACATAATGATTTCAAATGGTACATACTATCACGTGAAACAGTAAATGGTAGAATATAGTAAGGGTTTCAGTTAGAATAATGGTTGATGGCTGAGCATAGGAGTGGCTCAATGCTCAATGGTCGAAGCACATGAATGGTTCAATGTCTCTTATGTTGGTATGTTGCTGAGGGTGTATTAGTAAGGACAACATTCTTGCATGGTTTGGATATACCGAAGACAAGCGAATCACATGAAGAGTTGACGGAAATCGGAAAATTAGCATGGAAGGTCTTTTTTGGTCTTTTGCCAGTCGGTGTGGTAATAAAGACAGGAAGATATGTTAGATGTTTATCACCTTTCATTTTATTTCGTATTTTCTGGAGTTACAGCATTTGTTGTCGTAGCATTCGTTGTTACAGCTGATTGGCAAGTATTATTTGCTGATATATTCCAAAGTTGGTATCAATTAATCAGAAATTTCTTCTAATGTAGAAAACGTGAAGTCTTTGCCATTTTAAAAATAAGCTATCACGAAAAACCGATGGAGATTGATTTTATTATCGAAGAACTACAAATTTTTCGGCGGAAACACTTTTTTGCGTCCTAATCTGTTTGTCAAAGTTTGTGTTCCTTCAATTATTCAGGCACTGATATATTCCATTGTAAGACTTTTTGACGAAATAAACTTGGGATAATAGGAAATACATTGTTTTGCGAGTTTGATATTTTTGAAGATGAAATATGAGTGACAAGTGGACTTTTTATAATGTCTTGAAGGCCTCTGTTCAGTTTTGGCATAAGTTCCCGTATTACAATGACTTTTCATTTTTTTCCGAGTAATGCACTGTTTTTTCATACTGAAAATAATACGGAAGCCTGTGAAACAAACGAAAAAGCTGGAATGGTACTTAGTGTTTTTGACACAAGTTATCTTCTCCAATATACAACTCCATTACCAATGTGCACTCGAAGTATATGTTGTTTTATGCTTTAAATGATGTTTTTCTAGGAAATAATGAGTTATTTCAAAGATTTTAGAATTATCCTTTCCATATATCGGAAATCTTACTGATGGCTCATATTCATCAGTGCATAAACGTCAGACTCCAGAAATAATTACCATTATCAAAAGGATAAGCAGTCGTCTCATAATAGTGATTATTTTATAAGAGTGTATTGCTCACTTATTCTATATACAATTCTCCAGAAATTAGATGGCTTGAAAAAAGAGGCAGGTTTCAGTTAATAACCATGAAATTCATTCATTATTGATTCAGTTGTGTAGTTAAATTTCTCTTATGTTTTACTCATTTTCAATTTTCTGTTTTTTACCTACTTTGGGGATCTCTCGCAATTCTCATGCCTTTGCATATTAATGTATGTATATTATTTTCTACACATTATTTCCCACACTTACATCAAAAACATCATTCAGAAATCTGACGAACTGCGATCTAAAGCTGTGAAAACAATTGCTTAGTTGCATGATTGTATAAAACGTAGATGCAACTACTCATTCATAGAAAGCACGTCTGAAGTTTGGTGTAATTGAAGTCGTAATTTATATTGTAATTTTTCCTGACTATAAATTATATGAAGTTTTACTGTCACAGTATCTATTCCTCGAATCTTTTCCAGGCCTCAAATAGTTTAGAGGGATTTGGATACCAAAAACAAGGATGGTATAATTTTGAAGTGTGCATTTGTAACCACCAGAAAATATATTTTAAAAAAAAGAAGTATTTATGTTATTTAAGGAGCAGGCAATTGGTTATAAATTCATAGATCGTCTGGTGATCTTGATGTGGTGGAGGGAAGAATAAGATTTGCGAATGGTTACGGATATTAATGAAATCAATTCCGAATTAAGATATGGCATATTGCAAGTCAAACTGAAGGAAGTGAATAGGTATGTAGAGATAATGTTATATCTAATGAACGAAAAATAGAAATAGTGGACAAGTTCGCATATATTTCACTGATTGAAAGAGCAGAACTGACTAATAAAATTCTTCTAGATCTTAAACCAAACAACAAGCCAGTTACAGTAGTGGAAATACACATTGCACATACGCATTATAATAGAAGTGAACTTATAAAAAGTTTTTCATTCGAAAAATTTTGGAAGGAAAACAAATAAAAAACTTTATAAAAAACTGATTCGAATTCTGATGGTATAGTAAAAGATATAGTCCCTAAAAGAAAGCTGTACACAGATATTAAGTTCGAAAAAGGTAGCAATAAATTTGATGAATTGAA